ACAATATTTGTGTCTTACGTTTCATTATTCAATATTAGTACATAGTACTGCCAACTAATGTCATATGTAACCCTATTTTTTGTTTGCTATGCATTTAGGATGTTGCATTTTCCGAGCAACACATGTTTACCCATGTTCTGAGACATTAACCAGATTATTGCTTGCGGGATCGGGAATTATGCACTACACGGGGACCACTCATTTGTTTTAATGTGGTGGAGTGGCATTTTTCTGACTGTGTTTTCTGACAATATGGATGCAGACAACTGATAGTAGGGACTTGTGATTCCATTAGGGAGTTGTATGCCACAAATATGCGTAACAGACATGGTTCTGACTGGACGACTGCACATCAGTGCTACATAAGCATGTGAGAGCAGCGACGGGATACTATTGTTCATGTCGAGTATACCTTCAACATGATGGATGCCACTAATTCATACATGGAGTGGTATCAACACATTACTCGTCTACTTATCGGACCACCCATGCTGCGACCTAACATCGATTTTCAGCCAGTCGACAGTATCATCGAGATGTTTGTATGTATTATTTATTTTGCAGATAAATTAAATGTATTACAAAAATTACGTAATCTTGCTTTAAATCATTATTTTATGGTGCTGCATGAACAGACACTAACACATGTATATCACACAACACGTAACACTGTTAGTGGCGAGCCTGATTTGCAGACTTCTTTGACGGCCATCAGGCAAATGGGGGATCTCTACTACAGGTGTTTATCATCTCTTTCTGAGCACGGAAGACTTGTGCAACAATCAACAGACATTCATCAGCCAATAGTTGCAGCACCAGTGCATGCACGTCAGCGTGGTGTACACATTCCACGATGTCCAGCTGCATGCACACATGGACATATATTCCCACCAGTCGTGGATACTGCTTTGACATCATCACAAGCAGGCTCATCAACCACATATGTTCCCTAGACCGCTAGAGCGTGTCCACCTACCCCATATGTCCCAATTACTAATTATTGCATTCCTAGACCTACCATTAACCATGTCGCTACACCACCTCTTGACCATCCTACATAGACACCTACAGTGACATCACATAGTCCACCACTCACTGGCCTCACCAGATGTTAATGCATCGGCGTCTCCATTCACAACTTCACCAGAGCTAGTGGGTATAGGAGTTTTGTCACATGGACTGGACTAGACAGCTATATCACTTCCCAATGTTGCTTGTATTCCACATAATGTTTCACTGCTGCCCACATGACCTACTTCTCCTATTTCATATGAGAACTGTTCCGATGATGTTGAGGTTCTTGTTGAGGGAGTTACACAGGAGCCATCACTTTCACATAGAGTGCGAGGCAAAAGTGGCATGGAGTCAGTCTTCCTTACTACCATGCACATGATCCTATAGATGGTGGAGTGACTCAAGATATACCGACTCCTCCTGATGGACAGCGGCCCAAGCGACAGAGGAGACCACCACCTTGTGGGATGTAGTCCATTTTTTTTCGTCTATGTTGTATATAAATTGTGTTGATTAGTATTGTATATAAAAGCTCTTCGGGTTTGTAGTTTGATAAAGTGTAATTCCATTACTGCATTTTCAGATTAGTTATCAAATACTATAAGCAACGTTTTTTGAAGAACATAACACAATTTATTGAAATTCAGATGGACAATAATAACTGGTGTAATACACCATATTTCATGGAAACATAATAAAGAAGCATACTACAAACACAAGTACAACAACTGAAGTGTAAATGCTATAACACAAGAGTTACACAACACTTCTTCATGGGTCTTCATCTTTGTCAGACATCTCCATATCAGAAATACATCTAGCGTCCCCACTCAATTGGAAGCTTAAAATTGCTTCTTGTATCCTCCCTTCTGCAACACGGTTGCTTGCAATACAACGCAGATTGTATCGATTGCAATGGATTGTCATTCGATTGTTCTCAACTCGAATGTGAAATAATGCTCGCTCTAATTCTTGAGGAGTGGTAATAGGCATATCAATGACAACTTGTCTAGGCCTTCTTATGTTGCAGGAAAATAAATCTAAGCTTAGATTTTCTCTTTCCGTCAAACAATATTGACGTTCCGCCATCATTGTGTTTCTAGTTGTTAGTGAATAGCGTAAGCGAGGATTCATTGGGTAAAATAACTCACCCTCTAAAGTTCAATGATAACCCAAAGTTTCAAACACTGTTCTCGAACTATAATTCATGGTTAGAGATAAATTCTGTACATTGAACATTGCACATGAGTTCAAACTTATAGGCAAATGATGTATCTGAGTACGCCAGTGTGCATGCCTCAATGAATGACAAGATAACAGTGTGTAGTCACATTAACTAACATTTTTACAATGTGTAATCACAATGGCTGACATTGAAGTAGTGTGTCGTCACAATGAATGACAATGATGCCACTTGTTTCTTGTTCAGCAACCCACATTGATGAAGACCCTGCATTGCACTTCAATGCACTGGTGTGTAGTCACAATCAAAATCCTGTGACTATACACTAGTTCAATGCCAAAAAAATCCAGATGTATTAGTAATCTCAGTATGTAGTCTCATTGATATGTACCAGTGTGTGGTTACGCTAACAGATAATAGTGTGTAGTCACACTGACTGCACACCAAATTCAATGTTTGACGATTAACTCAAATATAAAGGAGACTACACACTACTGCAATGCTGACAAATGTGCTTATACGACAAAATACGTGACTGCACACTGCAACATTTAAAACAATGAAACTACTATAAAAATACAACACGGGGTGGTTCATATCACTTGTATTGTACATTATGTCTACATCAAGACCACGAGCCGATGATAACAGTCGTAGCTATCAATCAGTTTGGTTATTACAAGAGCGAGACAACGATTACAAGGGTGAGAGATTTTCTGATCCAAAAGAGTATTATGTCGAACTTCGACAAGAGTGAGATTTTTGTGCTAATGAATCACACTTATTATGCACAAATCTATGAGAACTTGGTATATCGTTGCTACATAGATTTTCACTTACCATGTTGCGAAGGAATAGAGTGAACTATGAAGCAGTAGTTAAACATGTACGAAAGGAGAATAATAGGATGATGTTGCGTAAGTGTCGATATTATATGTTTCAAATAACAACTGACATGATGACAACTGCATTTGGCAGAGAGTTGACAGATATTGAACGATCTACTGTATTATCTAATGAACAATACTTATCAGATGAGTATATGTCTGATGAAAATTAACAAATGTAATCAGTGTCCAACTTATTAAGCATATAACGTTTATGTCTACTTCCTATTTAGTGTTAATCAATATCGTGATTTTATCAGTTTATTCAGTGTTTTGTCATATCACAACTTTTTCATTGTCACAAATTGTCATTGTCAAATCAATTCCAAACTTTGTAGTGTGATGTTATTTCGCTGTTATTTTAAATTGTTAAACCGAGCATATAAATACTACCATTCACAATTGTGTAAATGCACCGCCACCAAACAAAATGTATAGGTGCATATCACGTACACAATACAACCAAACCAATGAAGGTTTTTCTTCAAGCAATGACCAAAATAGTTCATCTTCGGCTAACAAACATGAACGCTCAACTGACAGATCAACATCGTTGAAGAAAGTTTCTTCTATTTGATCATAACTAATTCTAGTGGTGTAACGTGGTATGGATGAAAGCTTGCATTCCGCAATGAATCTATCGACCCTTATCACCCATTCGGCCAAGGTGGACATGTAATTATTGGGCCTGTAACTGACATCTGCCTCTAGATGCTCATATCGAACCCACAATAAGATAACAACAGTTATATGACAAACGTTGTGACCTTGAAGTATTTTATTGTTGGTATAGGCTTGCGGTACCAAAGACTCGTTCGGTTGATATTTATAATCCACATAATTCAAACAATCATGATGAGATTATATCAAGACTTGAACATGAAAATGATCAAATACAACGTCATCTTAATCGGTTACATGCAATCGATTATGCAAAAACAGAGCATTTTAATCCTGAATATGCCGAAATAAAAATTTTAGAGGATCTGTTACTTGTTTTCGATTTCGAACTTTTTAATTTCTCTGATCTAGACGATGATGCGTCTGACACTTTTATCCCATCATGTTTATGTGTACTCGATAATTATTTACGTTGTTTTGAACATCAAGCACGCTATTGATAGCCTTTTTTATCCCATCAAATTCACTGCAATGTGTTATGAAATAAATGCTCAATTTTTTGGTTACGAATAACTTCTATTTTTACATCGCTTAATAGCATTATTGTCGTTATGATCAAAATTAAAAATGAAACTTTATTTTTATTATATGTATACGTTTAAAATTATATGATAAAATTAAAATAAATTATATGTATACGTTTTCAATTTTTTAATTTTGATATGATCAAAATTTATGTATTTTGAAATGATCATCAAAATTTATTTTTTTTTCAATATAATTAATTTTTTCAATAAATAAAATTAAACATTTACTCATAAAAAAAAAAGAGGGAGATAGTTCAAAAAAAGAGAGGGACACTCATAAAAATTTGAGAGATAAAATCTCTAAAAACGTTAGTTTAACTTACGTTTTTAGTGAAAACGTTAATTGAACCAACGATTTTAGAAAAAATCAATTCAACTGGCGTTTTCATTAAAAACATTAATTCAATTAACGTTTTCAACCATTTTACGTGCTTGTCTATTACAAGAAAAAATGTCACTTGATTTGACTTTTTACGCTAAAAACGTTACTCTAACTAACATTTTATGTTTAAAAACGTCATTCTAACTAGTATTTTTTAAACGGCATGAGTTTAAAAAATAATTTAAAAACTACCATCTTTTCGGTATAAGGTTGAAAAACCCCCAAGTCAGGGTAAAAGCTCCTACATATGCATTTCTTGAAGCAAAGCACAAGGAACCCGTCGTCGATTTCTACAAAGTTCACAACATTTCAATAGAACAGAATTTGCCACCAAAATTGGAACGAACTACATAGATCAAAAACGACCAACGAACCTGCTTCAAAGAAAAAAAAAATACCACCAAGGAATACATCTTCATCCGGTTCAACACAGTTCATCAAACTGAGACAGTTCACATGCATCATGAACAAGAACCCATGTAATTGAAAAACACCACATTTACTTGATAAAAGCCAGTATTACTGCGCATACTAAAATCGTACAAGTTAATAATTTAGCAAGGAGTATTTCAGTCTCAGAACAATTTTGCCTTTCTCTACACCAAATTTTCCGCCTGTTACCAACCAATGACCTGGAGGATCTTGTGGCCCCTTGCTCATCTCCGACATATCAACAAATTTACCCAACTTGTTGCCCACAATATTTTCCCCTGAGCCTGAGCTTGAGTCACTACTGTTACTAGTACTGACCAATTTCCTCAGTTTGTCATTTGGGGTGCTATCCCATAACGATCTTCGTATTGTGCAGCCTGGTAGCCTCGAGTATAAAAGCTTGAGATACAAGACATTTCTTGACCCAAAATCCCACACCCCAAGCTGAGCTCCAGTGACTATGTACACACCAGAATGGTTGCCAATGAAGGTCTCGGGACTCTCAATTGGTGCTGTGCTCACATGAGAAAAATTCTTCCATTTCACTGGCTCAAACCATCGACTGTCTTGCTCTTCAGGACCCTGCCACTTTGGAGCACCAATTGCAATATGGGTGTCCCAGTATGGCTGGAGAACCTTCGGAAGTGATGCCAAGTGTTGAAGATGAATACTCAGTCGATTCTGTTTGAGTCCTTCAAGACTTAACCGCATGCCTGTCACAGGTTTGCGCCCAACCGATATCTGCATTCAATGAAAGCCAAAACCAAGTTCAGGATTATTAGTACCTAATCTAACACAAACTTAGGTTCATATCGAAGAAAGCCATAAGCTAACCTCAAAATGTCAGGTAACCTACCGCACCTGTTGTTATGTTTGTGAGTAGTCAAAGAATAAAAAAAGGCTGTCTGGCATCATTTCACGAGTATCCTTTCAAGCAATCAAACTCTATAGGTAGCCATTAAGCATTACATCCCAAGAAAATTACAACTCCCTTCATTTGTAGAAGCATGGAAAAGAAGGCAGCTCGTGATGATGATGATGGTTTGATAGAAAATAATAATAACTTTAAAACAGTGCTGTGGATAAAAGTGCTGACATGGCACCTAAAATGGGAGTGCATTCATGGCCAAAAAATGTTATCAATAATTAGAAATGATGTTATACATCCAAGCTTAAGTTTCAAACATATTAATCAAAACAAACCAATTCAGGTAAAATCTATGTAGAAACAATATTATTTATTTAGCTATGGCATTGAAACATAGATGGCTCAAATGCATTAGCCCCCACAACAGCTGCCTAACATGATATAAAATCCCTACTTGTTCCACCAGCTCCACAAGTGTTGGAAACTATTTATTCTTCTAACCTCATGCATATGAACATGAAAACTTTCTTCCACGGGGACATGACTTGCACAAGAGAGTATAGCTGAACTTTGAAGTTGATACAAATGCACACAAACACAGACACTAACATACATACTTGCTCTTGGCTGATGTAAAGCTTTTGCCCCATCATGCTGAACTGCAAAAAAGGGCAAATAGGTTCCTTTCTTTGATTGCCAGGAAGCCTGTCATGTATGGGGGCCCATAACCGAGGGACCTGAAACTCCAGGAAATATCTCAGCTCTTCAATCTGAGGCTTGTCTGCACACAATTATCCAAACTAATTCTCAGCTTGGCAATTAGATGGAACCCTTGCATAGAAAGGGAATAAATGCACTACAATGAAGTATAGGGTGCCTTACATTCAAGATATAGACCTATAGCACGTGTCAAGTGCTCCTTTCCAGCTACCCCTTCAAGAAGAAGTGTGATAGGGCAGAATGACATCTCGATGACATCTGGAGAAGACTGAACAGTTCTGGCCCACTGGGTGTGGCTCTGTTCCAGATCATCGCCTCCCCTTCGTCTAAAAATTACTGTAAGATCCTGCAACATATATGTACAAAGAAAATTTGTATTTGAAGCTTTGTAATAATTCAACAAACTCGGGTATAGCAACTTCTTATATATGAATTCTATGCAAATCCTAAAAGCAAGCAAAAAGTTTCTTTGCTACTCATGCAAATACCACCATCCTTCCAAAAAAAAAAAAAATGGCACATTATCAACATTTAAGATCAATTGATCATCTAGTAAAAATAAACTGGCCAAATTATCTTGACAAAGTAACAAATTGACAAGAAACCAAATATAGTAGCCAACTCCTACAAAAGTTGTCACCCATTAATGTGGATGTCAAAATCATCATCGAAACTTGTTCCCATGGACTATTCTAATTCCTATGAGAGAAACTTGCCAATTTACTAAGCTCACTTATGCAGCAATTTGAAAGGAAGTAACACAACAGTAGTGTTAATAAAACTCCAAAACCAATATCAGGGATTTAGGCTTTGATCCATATTCATACCTGTTATTCAGTACGATCGCTCAACCCCATCATGATTATTTTTTTTACCCCATAATGATTATTAGAACTTTTTTCACATCCATATAATAATATATCCCAAACTAGTACAGGTAAGACTTTGGGCAAGACTCTAAATTTAAATTGATTTGTGTTTGTGTGATCACACGGGCACCTTTTTATATCTTTAATTCTGTTTTCTATTTATTTTGTCGACCTCTCCACAAGCACATGGAGTTCACATGTGTAAAAGAGTGTAAGATGTTATCCACGTACACATACTAACACCTACAAACTAATCAACGAGCCTTGTGAGTCTCTTCACTCATTATCAATTTGTTTTGAGCCGGATTCTTTAATAGTAATTACTGGTTAATGATGTGGGGGTGTTCCTTCCTTTGGGACAAAAAAATATTGGTTAATGGCAATTATAATCCATACTATTCATGAATGAATCAAGGATAATTTCCTTCCTATACAAAGCTAACCAACTTTAATTAGAGATTAATTGTTTGAAATACTTTAAATACGCCATATACAGACACTTACTCAGAGTAGGACAGAACATGACAACAGAGGAGTAAAAATCAACACTTTTTGTTTACTAGGTCATTTTAATACATTTATTTTTTTATGGGCTTGACATTATGGCATCCAGATTATTACCAAAGCAAAATCTTAATTAACTAAAACTTTTGTAATGAACTCTCAAAAATGTAACAAGCAACATTCATTGAAAAGTACTTTATAAAAAAACAATTCATTAAACAGAGCATGTATAATATAAGCTTATTATTAAACCACCATTTCATCTAAAACTTTAAGTTGCAAGAAAGGGTGTAACTTAGGTATTTATATTTTAACAGTCCCACATATAGCCTAGATTTTGAGCCTAACCCGTGAAAATCTTTTGATTAACAAAGTGGCGGTGAGATTTGAAAACAACCTCCTGCTCTGATACGATATTAAACCACTATTCACTTCAAAAGCTTAAGTTATTCGGAAAGGTGTAACTTAAGTATTTATAATTCAACACAGCTTTAAAAACAGCTTTAAAAATACAGCATATGATATTAAACATACTTCTTTCCCATTTCCTGAAAGATAAGGGGCACTAGTGGGTTGTGGATGTATTCCTTGGTTGTTGAATAAAGAAGGTTCAACACCCTGCAAAATGCAAAAACAGGGAGAAAGGCATAGAGAAAGATTAGTCAGAATATCACACTCAATGCAGATTAAGTCGAGGATTAAACAAAGAACAAAGAAAAGAAATCTTTTCAAAACAAATAGAAAAAGAAATTTTATGGAACTAGCCTTATCCTTGTATTTCAATAGACCTGAACTCGTAAGGGTTTCTGTGCTGGAGAACCTTTGGTTCCCAATATCCTGAACATAATTTTTGACCTCCATTGTCGACAAAGGTGATGACTGTTGCTGTTTAACATAAATAACATCTTTTCCGCCAATAGTTACAGATGTTATCACATGTGTCCCAAAGTTCTCAATAAAGCTGAACTCCCCAACCAAAAAAAGAGGAATATATGATTAGAGAAAGTAATATACACTAATAAGTTTTTTCCACAAAAATATGCGGGAAATGCATACCTTACTAAAGCTGATGGGTCCCACAATAGCGGGACTGCTTGTCTGACATTTTCTCGCAACACTAGTGGGGATTTTATGAGCTCAACCTTAGCAAGGGGAATGAAAAAACCATCCACACAAAGGGACTTGGTGGCTGCAACATCAATATGTTTGGAACCGGTAAAGCTAAATGCACTATTGAAACTACCAAGGGGAACATGTCCTGATAGGTTAGCCTTTTTATTGAAATAATCCACCATCTGCAATCATTATCATGCACAACATATTAGAATCACTACTGATGAAAATTATTTTATCAACCCACAAAGTATGACAGCATTCTTAAGCTCACCAAGTAACTCTACATTGGTGAATCCACATCATTTATTTGATTATGTAGCTATTTCAAGTTCAAATATGGGGCAAACCACATGAAATCTTGAAGCACGCAAAGCAAAGTTCAGGACATGCATGTGGGAACTTCTACCTCAATTCAAGCAGGTTCAAGTAAAATTGACAGTTATTTGAGCACATTGTCTGTGTCAGAATTCGTGACTTACACCTGAAGTTGCAATTGATGGCTTCAAAACATTGTATTGAAGCCTAATCAAGTCAAGCTCAGTGTTTTCAAGCCTCATGCGAGCAACAAGCTTGAAACAACATTGATTGAAGTCAAGCTAGACATTGTTAGCCAGGCTAAAATAATATAACAATATTTTTCCCGGTAATTTAGGATGAGATAACAAAACAAAACAAAACAAGCACAAGCTGTATTCTATTGGGGATGACTATAAGGTTGCTTTGTTTCTAGTTCGGATTGTTTCACATAAAAATTTAACCACTTTTCAGCCTGAAAATTGATCAGGGATCAAGAAAGGCTGAACAGAGCATACAAAATAGGTGTAATACACAAGTAACAAAAAATTCTATTTCTCACGAACAGTTGTACTGGTCTAAATATCCCTCTGTCCCTATTGTCCAATAGATATATTTGAAAATTTATTGTCATCTCCATTGCGACAAGATTAATTCTCAATCCTGTATACCCCTTCATCAACAAGGGTGTCCTGTCTCAACTAATTCATGCACAAAACCACCAAATCACCCAAAAAAACAAGAACTCAATTGTGGCAGTGGCTGCATCCAAGTCCAAAGGCATGTTACGCACCAAGTACAAATATTTGTATGAACACTCTCACATAATACTCAAAAACCAATCACCCAAAATTAAAAGACAGGACAGGAAATTATGGCAACACAATAACAAACCTCATGATAACTGCAAACACCACAACCATCACGTCCACCAGTCTCGTAAGAATTTTTTATGTCTTTTGAAACATTGGGCACAACTAAATTTTCGTGCAACCATAGATGCCTGGGGTGGTCATCATCAACTTCCACAACCCTAGACCCTCCCACTCCCTTACAGTATAACAACCTTGTATCAAAATTCACATCAAAGCCCCTACCAAGTGCCTGTACTGAATTTATAGCTGTATGCAAAGCTGCTGCATTTTCCTCCATTTCATCACCACCCTCACAACCCACAAACCGAATTCAATAGAAAGCAAGAACAATACTATAGGTTAGCCAAATCCATGATCCAATTATACAAATCAAAGTCCCAATTCTTCTGTTAGGGTTAACAGACTAGGAACAACCTCAATCATTTTGAAAAACCCATAAAAATTCCTGCTTACACAAGAAAAGAAGAACAATTGAACTATTGCTGAACGTCAAATTCGCTGGTTACTAAATGATCAAACCCAAATCTGAACCCTTTCGTTCTTTATCTCTCTCTCTCTCTCTCTCTCTCTCTCTCT